GGGGGTGCCGGGGAGGGGGTCCAAGCCGCGCCCAGGGCTGCCAGGCTCTGGCTCCCCGATGGGGCTTCGGGGTAAGCGTTCAAGGCCACAAAGACCCCGAGGCTTCAGCACGTGTGGAAACCGTGGACATCAGACCCCCAGCCAGTGTCCCCCCAAGCACTCCATCATGCCCGCTGCCGATCCCCCACCAAAAGGCCCCTGATATTAGAGACCACCTCTCGGGACAAGGCCATCTGGGCCCATGCTGGCCACGGGGGCCCACTTACCAAAGTGAGGCAGGTGGTCGCTGGGAATGACCACCAGTTGGCCTGACTGGGGGTCCCGGACAAATTGGTAGGCTGATGGCAGGGAGCCCCCCAGGCCAGGCGGGAACGCGGGGGCCATGCCCTGGTGCAGCGAGGGAGGGCCCAGGCCTAGGAGGAGAAACCAAGGCCTGGTCAGCGCTGAGCAACCCCAGACTGTTCATCCCAGGGAAGCCCCAAGCCTTGACACCGTCCCCCGGGGTCCCTGGACCTCTTGGGGCCTCTGGGGGAAGCCACGGGGACAGAGGTAGAGGTGTTGGCTGGGTGCGGCCTGCAGAGACACTCCCGCCGGACACACACCCTACACGGGTGCACAGAGGGTGGACAGAGGGAGTGGAAGCGTGGCGCACAGAGGACGCCCGGCCCAAGCCCCCAGCCCTGGGCAGGCAGCTGCCCGCTCCGAGGCCGACCTGCGTCCAGCGACCTCCCACCCGGTCCTATCCCCACCCCATCTCCCTGGGGAGGGGAGAAGCCCCCGCCCGACTCACCGTAGGGGTGTCCTGTGAGCCACATGGACGTGCTGCCCGAGCGCGGCAGCCAGGGGTGGGTGGCCAGGTGGGCCGCGGGGTCAGCAGACCAGCGACCCGAGCCCGCCAGCGTGGGGCCCCCGGTCACCATGAGGTTGGGGTTCAGGCCGTTGGGGGCACAGCTGGTGGGATGCAGGCGGGCCAGGTCAGCCAGCTCCTTGCCCTCTCTGGAAGCGGAACAGAGGCACTGGCAGCTCGGACAGCCCAGAGACACGGCACCCACAGTCCAGGAGCCGAGCCCCTCGGCAGCCAGACCCCGGGCTCCCGGAAGCCCCCAGGCGCCCACACCCTCACCTGAGCAGCTTCTCCTGGTCTCGCTCCAGCCGGGCGCCCAGCAGCCGCTCCTCCCTGTGCCTGGCCCGGCCCTCGGCACAGTCCTCGTCAGCCCGGCCATGCCCTGCAGGGCCCAGGCAGAGGTAAGCCCCAGCCCCGCGCAGCCCACCGCCCCGCCCGCACCCCTCCCTGGGCCCCCAGAGCCCGCCGGCCCCGGACGGCCGTCCACGGGGCTCCCTCGCCTCCACCTTCTCCCCACAAAAGCCCACTCGGGAGGGGCCTTGGGCCGGGAAACGTCCCCTCTGTCACCCCCACCCAGAGAGCTCATGTCTGTCCCCTGTACTGACAACTGCGGCCGCCATGAGACCAACAGCCAAGGGTGTTATAAGAAAACCTCAAAAAACAGATCACATGACGATAAAACTCACCAATACTATTTAATAAAGGGAAGGCAGGTTGGGAGCAGTTGCGGGGGTCGGGGCAGGGTTAAGACAGAGGGGAAACCACAAGCCCCCAAAAAAGCCACGCTGTGGCCACACCATGCACCGCTGTGTCTCCCAAGACACCATAAACACATGTGGCTCATTTCTTTTTTTTTTTC